ATGGCTTGTACCTTTTGGGGTTCATAGACTTCAGCGAGGTTTAGAACTTGACTCAGCCTAGAAAAATGTGCCTACACAAAACAATTTCACTTACTTTCAGAGGATTCTCTGAGTCCCTGAAGCCCATCAGTGAACCCCAGTTAAGCACGCTTGTAAGTTTATGCTCATAGAGCAGCAAGAACACGATGCCATGGAAAATGCCGTGGCTGCTTTCTGTGAGTACTTGGGAGAGGAATATTTTCCATTATCTCTGATTGCAGGCAAGTAGTTGTGGCAATTGCAGCAGGGCTGAGAAATCCCTTAGTAGTCATTTTTTTCTTGCTAGTGCTGGTGATAAGTGAAAATGTAAATATAGTCAGAAATGTGGTTTAGGACAGTACAAGTTAAGCCCTGCTAAACTGGGAACATTAATTCTTCACCTTACTTTTTTAAAAAATCAATATTTTGATTACTCTATAGGTACTTTCATCTTAAAATAAATCTGTCTTTTATGTAAATAAATGAAAGAAAAAAGTTTGATGTAGAAGTACAAAAGCTGATCACAATCATGGCAGTTAATCTAAAATAAGTCAAAGGTACTGGTTCTATCGTTCCTTCAGAATTCACAGGCAGGATAGCAGTGTACCCTCACACTATGGGGTACCGTGGGGCAGCTCAGCCTAAGAGGGTGTTTGAGGAAAGGACTTATAGGACTTAGGTGATTTGGGGGAAAGGCTTAAAGAAGCAGGGCTTTGCTCTGGATTAGCTGCTGTCAGGAAATGTGTTAAGTCTATGACTAGATAGATGTCTTAAATCTCATCCACAGGGAAGGTAGACTAGAGCAAAATTAAAGCTGTAATTGAGAAAGAAGCAATAGTCTGGACTTTTTGGTATTTTCCAGGCTTTTTGGTATTTTCCAGACTTTTTGGTATTGTCTGGCTTGGCCAGTGTTCATGCTTTGGCTGTATTCAGATACGATTACCGCGTGGCCGTGTTTTTGTTTTGTTTTGTTCTCTTTTGGTCACAGAGTGGCCTTGTCTGATGTTGATTTTCCGTGAAATCGTTGATGTTCCACAGGACAACACCGAGGCCCAGCTGTGAACGCGAGGCCAGCTCCAGATGCCGGGGGCTGCTCCTCTCTTGCTCAGTCTTCCCCACTTTGAACTGCCCTCCTTCAGATGCACATTTGCCTCCTGAATCAAAGCCTCCGCCTGCTTCCTCCTCCACCACTTGCCTGCTCCCTTAGCTCCTGTGGGGACTTGTTCTCAGCTCTTCCAC